CCCCCCCAGCCACTCCCTCTGGACACTATGGCTGTGCCCTGGGTGGGCGTGGGAAGGTGGGCTGGGTGGCAAAGCGGAGTTGCTGGTGCAGCGCCGGCTTGGAGCAGCGGTTGGGTTAGTCCCGGCACTCTGGGTGCGGGCAGAGCTCTGGGCTAGCCCAGGCAGCCCTTTGCTTGAGGCGGTTTGTCTTAAATAGGAGCAGGAGGGCAGGCGGCAGTCTGTGCGGCGAGCCGGGAGGGTGCAGAGCTCAGTTCTGCTCCTCATCCCGCAGCTCCGAGGGCAGGAACTTATACTGCTGCTGCCGGATCATCGCCAGCTTCTTCCGCGCCTCCTCCAGCTCCCGCTCCTTGCGCAGCATCTCCTCCTGGGCGGCGATGATCTGCCGGGAGAAAGCACTGGGGTCACGGCTGCTTCCGAGAGGGGTGGCCGGAGCCTCTGCCGTGGCAATGCCAAACCCAGAGCTGGGCTCTCTCGCTGCTGCTTGCCCCCTGCAGCACAGCCACAGCCTCCCTGGGCTGGTGTGGCCCCAGGCACAAGGGCTGTTGTCCCTGCAACAGGACCACGGTCCTCTGGAGATGATGGGGAGCAGCACGGCTCCTGGGGCTTAGCCCCACATGCCCTGCAGAGGGTCTCAGCTGCAAGCCTGGGGCCAGGAGGCAGCACTGGGACCTGTGGCACCCCATACCGGGCAGCTCTCACCCTGTACCCAGTGCTCTGCCCTTCACACGAGTCATGGACACCAGGATGGTGTGGGCACTGCACCAAGGAGAAGCTAGGTTACACTCCTGGGAGCGTGCGCCATCATCGGCTGTGTCCACTGCTGCATGTGGCAGGACGAGGGTGAAGCCGCAGTATCTAACTGGTGCTGGGTGGGAAGGGTGCACCCGCAGCACCTTTGTAAGGCTGCGGACATGCCCCATCCTGGTGAGCGGTAGGGGGGTGAGACAGGCATGCACAGGTTGTGGTGGCATCCAAAGTTGCCCCTGCCCCATCAAACCAGCCCCACTCCTCACCTGTGCAATTCCCCCGACCATCTTCTCCTTCACCACCACCGTTTCATCATGGTCCTGGAAGGCAGCTGCCTTCTGCGCTGCCTTCACCAGATTGTCCGACGCTCTCTTTACTGCGTTACCGGCAGCCTGCACCAGGGAAGCAGCACCGTTAAGTCACGGCCCCAGGTTATGGCTGCTGCCTGGAGCGGGTGAAAGAACCCCTGCCCCAGGCCAGGCTGGCAGGCAGAACAGGCAGCCAGGCATGCTGGGAGCTGCAGGCAGGGATTCCTTTACATGGCTTGCTGCCTTGCCACCCGCTCATGACCATTTCAGGCACTGCTGCTCCCAGCTGGATTCTGGCTCCTGTCTGAGCCCTGGGGCAGGGACTAGTGGGCAGCCCTGCAGACCCTCCCCAGCCCTTAGCCCCACGGGATCGGCACTGGGACCCCATGTTAAAACCCCAACACATGGGCATTAACCTCTTGTGTGCCACAGCCTCTGAAGATTAAGGGTGCTACAAAACATGCCCCCCAAACATTAACCTC